CCACGAAAGCTTATGCTCTAATAAATTTGTTAGTCTCTAAGGTGCCACAAGTTCTCCTGTTCTTTTTAATGATCTATCGGTTTGTCTGTAGTATTTGCCACTGAGGTTACCATTAGCTTACTTCCTGCTTGCAAGAATGATTTTAGGTTGCTAATTTCAGCTTTCAAGGGCCTGTTGTGTTTTGGAAAGGCTGTACTAATGGATTCTTCCATTTCTTGGGATGCCCCTGAAGCCTTCACTCAACACTTTTTTGTGGTGGAGCTAACAGGGCAGAAGATGAGACAGAATATGTGTCACACTTTCTTCAAACCCTTTCTTTTTCATTGTTTTGTAGTTAGGGTCAGTGTTGAGATCTACTTGATCTGCAGGGTGAGCATACCTAACCTAGCACTGTGAAGAGTAGGCTGCACAGCTGAAATAGAGCAAAAGATGAGTTTCTAGTTGTGGGGTAAACAAAATATAATCGTGAATATCTGAAAGGGATTGGGAGCTTTAGAAATATCCAGGTAAGTGCCCTGGACGGGTTGTGCTATTGCAAAGTCTCTTGGAAGAGAAGAAGAAATATATTGACTAATAATACCTTTTGCTCTAAAAAATCACGTACCTAATTACCTAATATATTTTCCTATGAGGGGCTGTATTCTTTGTTGGCTGTAGTACCTAGCACAATGGGGCCCTGATTCTTGACTGGAGTTCCTAAGCACTACTGGAATGTGCTGGGTGCCTCACAGCACAGATAAGACATTACCCCTGGTCGTGCCGAGCTTACATATTAGGGCCCCAGTCCTGAAATCTGTTCCATGAAGGCAGCCCCCGGTAGGGCTTCACAGTGGTGCACAGATCTGTCTGTGCTGCCGGTTTTGCATTGCGTTATTGAAACGGAACCCCTAGATACAGAACTCAGCCCTTGTTGCTGCCAACTCAGATGGGCAGAAGGGTTACATTTGCAAAATAAATTATTCAATGTTAATGTAGAGGTGGAATACACTATGTGAAGGATATATAATAAACTTCACAGTACATGTTGCTCCTACAAAGAAAGAATACCTCGCTATTGTGCTGCTGAACTACCAGTCATTTGCTTGGTGGGCTGTCCTACTGCCTAGGCTGATGCAGAGTTAGAGCAGTGATCCGCTGTCTATGGGCTGAGCCTGCTGCATTATTAGAACAAGTGAAGCCTGTGGATAAGATATCAATGCTCCTCCTGACTGCCTGCAGGGCTGGCCCCTCTAAGGGCTTGTCTACCGCTAAAATCAATGTAAGTTACATCGCTCAGGGGTGTGAAAAAACATCCCCCTGAGCGATGTAAGTTACATCGATTTAAAGCAGTGTCTACACCATGCTATGTGGTGGGAGACACTCTCCCGCCGACATAGCTTATCTCTCGTTGAGGTGAAGTAATTACATCAACAGGAGAGTGATCTCCCGTCGACATAGTGCGTCTTCACCAGATGTGCTACATCGGCGCAGTCTTGGTAGTGAAGACAAGTCCTAAGCCTTTAACTCTCGCTGCACCCCTGGAGCAGACCTGCTGTCTGTGCTTCTTCCCACTGCTGGCAGGCTGCTCTCCCAATAGCTGCCGGCAGCCAGGCAGACTCCTCAGCCTCCCAGCACATGGAGGCTCTTTCCCCTCTCAGATTCCCTTCCTTCCTACCCTTGTTGTGTATCTCAGTGTGGAGCTAGGGGTGCAGAGGAGAAGCTTGCCAAGAGAGCCCTCTCTGCAGCTGAAAAGGCAGCAGCAGTCATCCTTTCCTGGACACAGTTCTCTTGGTAGGGAGTGCGGGCACTATGCGGACTTCCTCTGGCTTGCTGGGAGGAGGGAGGGTGTCAGCAGGCAGCTGCTGATTTGTATGG